GTCCATGTCTCTAGATACGTATGGCTCCTGGATGGTATCAGTCCATGTCTCTAGATACGTATGGCTCCTGGATGGTATCAGTCCATGTCTCTAGATACGTATGGTTCCTGGATGGTATCAGTCCATGTCTCTAGATACGTATGGCTCCTGGATGGTATCAGTCCATGTCTCTAGATACGTATGGTATCAGTCCATGTCTCTAGATACGTATGGCATCAGTCCATGTCTCTAGATACGTATGGGTCCTGGATGGTATCAGTCCATGTCTCTAGATACGTATGGGTCCTGTATGGTATCAGTCCATGTCTCTAGATACGTATGGCTCCTGGATGGTATCAGTCCATGTCTCTAGATACGTATGGCTCCTGGATGGTATCAGTCCATGTCTCTAGATACGTATGGCTCCTGGATGGTATCAGTCCATGTCTCTAGATACGTATGGCTCCTGGATGGTATCAGTCCATGTCTCTAGATATGTATGGCTCCTGGATGGGATCAGTCCATGTCTCTAGATACGTATGGCTCCTGTATGGTATCAGTCCATGTCTCTAGATACGTATGGCTCCTGGATGGTATCAGTCCATGTCTCTAGATACGTATGGCTCCTGTATGGTATCAATCCATGTCTCTAGATACGTATGGTTCCTGTATGGTATCAGTCCATGTCTCTATATACGTATGGCTCCTGGATGGTATCAGTCCATGTCTCTAGATACGTATGGCTCCTGGATGGTATCAGTCCATGTCTCTAGATACGTATGGCTCCTGGATGGTATCAGTCCATGTTTCTAGATACGTATGGTTCCTGGATGGTATCAGTCCATGTCTCTAGATACGTATGGCTCCTGGATGGCATCAGTCCATGTCTCTAGATACGTATGGCTCCTGTATGGTATCAGTCCATGTCTCTAGATACGCATGTCTCCTGTATTGTATCAGTCCATGTCTCTAGATACGTATGGCTCCTGGATGGTATCAGTCCATGTCTCTAGATACGTATGGCATCAGTCCATGTCTCTAGATACGTATGGTTCCCGTATGGTATCAGTCCATGTCTCTAGATACGTATGGCTCCTGGATGGTATCAGTCCATGTCTCTAGATACGTATGGTATCAGTCCATGTCTCTAGATACGTATGGCTCCTGTATGGTATCAGTCCATGTCTCTAGATACGTATGGCTCCTGTATGGTATCATTCCATGTCTCTAGATACGTATGGCTCCTGGATGGTATCAGTCCATGTCTCTAGATACGTATGGTCCCGTATGGTATCAGTCCATGTCTCTAGATACGTATGGCTCCTGTATGGTATCAGTCCATGTCTCTAAATACGTATGGCTCCTGTATGGTATCAGTCCATGTCTCTAGATACGTATGGCTCCTGGATGGTATCAGTCCATGTCTCTAGATATGTATGGCATCAGTCCATGTCTCTAGATACATATGGCTCCTGGATGGTATCAGTCCATGTCTCTAGATACGTATGGTTCCTGTATGGTATCAGTCCATGTCTCTAGATACGTATGGCTCCTGGATGGTATCAGTCCATGTCTCTAGATATGTATGGCATCAGTCCATGTCTCTAGATACGTATGGCTCCTGGATGGTATCAGTCCATGTCTCTAGATACGTATGGGTCCTGGATGGTATCAGTCCATGTCTCTAGATACGTATGGCTCCTGGATGGTATCAGTCCATGTCTCTAGATACGTATGGCTCCCGTATGGTATCAGTCCATGTCTCTAGATACGTATGGCTCCTGGATGGTATCAGTCCATGTCTCTAGATACCTTTGGCTCCTGTATGGTATCAGTCCATGTCTCTAGATACGTATGGCTCCTGGATGGTATCAGTCCATGTCTCTAGATACGTATGGCTCCCGTATGGTATCAGTCCATGTCTCTAGATACGTATGGCTCCTGTATGGTATCAGTCCATGTCTCTAGATATGTATGGCTCCTGGATGGTATCAGTCCATGTCTCTAGATACGTATGGCTCCCGTATGGTATCAGTCCATGTCTCTAGATACGTATGGCTCCCGTATGGTATCAGTCCATGTCTCTCGATACGTATGGCTCCTGGATGGTATCAGTCCATGTCTCTAGATACGCATGGCTCCTGGATGGTATCAGTCCATGTCTCTAGATACGTATGGCTCCTGTATGGTATCAGTCCATGTCTATAGATACGTATGGCTCCTGGATGGTATCAGTCCATGTCTCTAGATACGTATGGCTCCCGTATGGTATCAGTCCATGTCTCTAGATACGTATGGCTCCTGTATGGTATCAGTCCATGTCTCTAGATATGTATGGCTCCTGGATGGTATCAGTCCATGTCTCTAGATACGTATGGCTCCCGTATGGTATCAGTCCATGTCTCTAGATACGTATGGCTCCCGTATGGTATCAGTCCATGTCTCTCGATACGTATGGCTCCTGGATGGTATCAGTCCATGTCTCTAGATACGCATGGCTCCTGGATGGTATCAGTCCATGTCTCTAGATACGTATGGCTCCTGTATGGTATCAGTCCATGTCTATAGATACGTATGGTTCCTGTATGGTATCAGTCCATGTCTCTAGATACGTACGGCTCCTGGATGGTATCAGTCCATGTCTCTAGATACGTATGGCTCCCGTATGGTTGATATGTATTGAATCGTCTTGAAAGGGAAAGATGCACATCCATACTGTTATATAGTTGTTAATTGTATAATGCTGTTTCATACCCTTACTGCACTACACATATCTAATACCTGCTGTAAGTGGATTGATTGAACACATCGTTTCTAGCAGGACGGTGTCTCCACACAGTACACACTGGTAGGTAGCTATTAGGACTGGGTCGGTCTAGTTTCTAGCAGGACGGTATATACACATGAAATGGTTACCTGTGGTTTCCTCTGTTAGGTTGGAGTCTGTGTTAGATCCTGAACTAAACTAACGTTCCCGTCTGTCTGTGTCAGATCCTGTGTGTGGGTTGAGGCTGGTACATACACGCCAACGCAGAATCATAGGAGGAGAAAACTCACTGAGGTAAGGAAGGGGAGAGAGAGAGAGAGAGAGGTGAGTCCTTCTGTTTTCATCCTCTCCTTTTAATAAAGGACTCATTCACACCTGGACATCAGGTGTTTGTAATTAACTACCAGGTAGAAACAAAAACCACTGGACACCCCTGGGTTAATGGACACCCCTGGGTTACTGGACACCCACTGGACACCCACTGGACACCCCTGGGTTAAGGTTTGGGATAGAGTTAAAACTAAAACAACTCAATATATAATATATATATATATATATTAAGGTTTGAGTTAAAACCCCCCCAAAATTAACGAGTGCCTAGCACTGAGATTGAACCCGCCATCCTCGGCGCCGGAGCTCGCGGCTTGCGCCCATCCGCCATCCCCGTCAACAACGCCCCAGCAAGCCGGAACATTACGAGATGATAATAGTGCTCACTGTTGCCCCTAGTGGCCGGTTCTGAAAGCATTCTGCCGATGTCCTGGGGACCTGGACGAACGTCGAATACTGCATTGAATCTGGTGTAACCTCCCTGGAGACCTGGACGAATGTCGAATACTGCATTGAATCTGGTGTAACCTCCCTGGGGACCTGGACCAACGTCTAATAATGGATCTTGTGTAACCTCCCTGGAGACCTGGACCAACGTCTAATAATGGATCTGGTGTAACCTCCCTGGGGACCTGGACCGACATCTAATAATGGATCTTGTCCCGAAGCCACTCCTGCGTTGTCTTGGCTGTGTGCTTAGGGTCGTTGTCCTGTTGGAAGGTGAACCTTCGCCCCAGTCTGAGGTCCTGAGCACTCTGGGAGCAGGTTTTCATCAAGGATCTCTCTGTACTTTGCTCCGTTCATCTTCCCCTCGATCCTGACTAGTCTCCCAGCCCCTGCCGCTGAAAAAAAAAAACATCCCTTTAGGTGCCTTTTATGGCCATTCTACCATAAAGGCCTAATTGGTGGAGTGCTGCAGAGATGGTTGTCCTTCTGGGAGGTTCTCCCATCTCCACAGAGGGACTCTGGAGCTCGGTCAGAGTGACCATCGGGTTCTTGGTCACCTCCCTGACCAAGGCCCTTCTCCCCCGATTGCTCAGTTTGGCCGGGCGGCCAACTCTAGGAGTCTTGGTGGTTCCAGACTTCTTCCATTTAAGAATGATGGAGGCCACTGTGTTCTTGGGGACCTTCAATGCTGCAGACATTTTTTGGTACCTTTCCCCAGATCTGTGCCTCGACACAATCCTGTCTCGGAGCTCTACGGACAATTCCTTCGACCTCATGGCTTGGTTTTTGCTCTGACATGCACTGTCAACTGTGGGACCTTATATAGACAGGTGTGTGCCTTTCCAAATCATGTCCAATCAATTGTATTTACCACAGGTGGACTCCAGTCAAGTTGTAGAAACATCTCAAGGATGATCAATGGAAACAGGATGCACCTGAGCTCAATTTCGTGTCTCATAGCAAAGGGTCTGAATGCTTATGTAAATAAGGTTTTCGTTTTTTTATGTTTTATAAATGTGCAAAAATTTCTAAAAACCTGTTTTCGCTTTGTCATTATAGGGTATTGTGTGTAGATTGACGAGGATATATTTTTTTAAAATCCATTTTAGAATAAGGCTGTAACGTAACAAAATGTGGGAAAAGTCAAGGGGTCTGAATACATTCCGAATGCACTGTGTATTGTATAATTGTACACGAGACAACAGAGTATATACTACTATTTCTATTCTATAATGTGTGTGTTCAGGGGAGGCTGGCCATGGCAGGCTGCAGTGCGTCTAGGAGGCTCTTGGGGGGTTGTAGTTTAATATAATCCAGATATGTTATATTATTATACATGGTCTGTTGATGGGTGTTGTAGTTCTAGTATGCATGTCTAACCCTCATCATTTCTATTGTTTATAACTGTCTGTGTGTATACGTCTCCCTGTTTGTGTGTGTGTGTGTGTGTGTGTGTGTGTGTGTGTGTGTGTTCAGGGGAGGCTGGCCATGGCAGGCTGCAGTGCGTCTAAGAGGCTCTCGGGGGGACGGCAGGTTGGTGTGTGGAGCGACTCTCATCAACTCCTGTTGGATACTCACCTCAGCTCACTGCTTTAAGAGGTAACACTCACCTCAGCTCACTGCTTTAAGAGGTAACACTCAGCTCAGCTCACTGCTTTAAGAGGTAACACTCAGCTCAGCTCACTGCTTTAAGAGGTAACACTCAGCTCAGCTCACTGCTTTAAGAGGTAACACTCAGCTCAGCTCACTGCTTTAAGAGGTAACACTCAGCTCAGCTCACTGCTTTAAGAGGTAACACTCAGCTCAGCTCACTGCTTTAAGAGGTAACACTCAGCTCAGCTCACTGCTTTAAGAGGTAACACTCAGCTCAGCTCACTGCTTTAAGAGGTAACACTCAGCTCAGCTCACTGCTTTAAGGACCCCCGCTTAAGGTAACACTCAGCTCAGCTCACTGCTTTAAGAGGTAACACTCAGCTCAGCTCGCTGCTTTAAGTGGTAACACTCAGCTCAGCTCACTGCTTTAAGAGGTAACACTCAGCTCAGCTCGCTGCTTTAAGAGGTAACACTCAGCTCAGCTCGCTGCTTTAAGAGGTAACACTCAGCTCAGCTCACTGCTTTAAGAGGTAACACTCAGCTCAGCTCGCTGCTTTAAGAGGTAACACTCAGCTCAGCTCACTGCTTTAAGAGGTAACACTCAGCTCAGCTCACTGCTTTAAGAGGTAACACTCAGCTCAGCTCACTGCTTTAAGAGGTAACACTCAGCTCAGCTCACTGCTTTAAGAGGTAACACTCAGCTCAGCTCACTGCTTTAAGAGGTAACACTCAGCTCAGCTCACTGCTTTAAGTGGTAACACTCAGCTCAGCTCACTGCTTTAAGTGGACACACACTCACCAGAACGGGGTTGAAGGACTGAAATATATTAATAAATCATATTGGGAATGTTTGCCTGGAGTGCCAGATGGATGGAGTCTGAGTTTTCAGGCTATTCCATTGGTCACGCATCATGTTCAAATCCATAGCAACAGGACGTAGGTGTTCTGAGGGCGCTGATAAAAATAAATACATAATAATTAGACCTTTATTACTCCTGTGTGAGCGGAGAGATGTCGTTACCTCTGACAGACACCACAACCTCAACATTCATCTAGTCACTTCATCAACATCTAGTTTAGAGAGACAGACACCACAACCTCAACATTCATCTAGTCACTTCATCAACATCTAGTTTAGAGAGACAGACACCACAACCTCAACATTCATCTAGTCACTTCATCAAACATCTAGTTTAGAGAGACAGACACCACAACCTCAACATTCATCTAGTCACTTCATCAACATCTAGTTTAGAGAGACAGACACCACAACCTCAACATTCATCTAGTCACTTCATCAACATCTAGTTTAGAGAGACAGACACCACAACCTCAACATTCATCTAGTCACTTCATCAAACATCTAGTTTAGAGAGACAGACACCACAACCTCAACATTCATCTAGTCACTTCATCAACATCTAGTTTAGAGAGACAGACATCACAACCTCAACATTCATCTAGTCACTTCATCAACATCTAGTTTAGAGAGACAGACACCACAACCTCAACATTCATCTAGTCACTTCATCAACATCTAGTTTAGAGAGACAGACATCACAACCTCAACATTCATCTAGTCACTTCATCAACATCTCGTTTAGAGAGACAGACACCACAACCTCAACATTCATCTAGTCACTTCATCAACATCTAGTTTAGAGAGACAGACACCACAACCTCAACATTCATCTAGTCACTTCATCAACATCTAGTTTAGAGAGACAGACACCACAACCTCAACATTCAACTGACAGTTGAACATACACACACACACACACAGCAGGTCTGTAGGTGTGTGTGTGTGTGTGTGTGTGTGTGTGTGTGTGTGTGTGTGTGTGTGTGTGTGTGTGTGTGTGTGTGTGTGTGTGTGTGTGTGTGTGTGTGTGTGTGTGTTTTATAGGAAGGTAAAGTTGGGGGAGCCAATTTTGAGTATGATGGATATCTCCAGGTTTCACATGGTGTTTTGCGTATGATAAATACTGTATCTCTCAGCCCCTCCACAGATTTTATCTGGGAAAGAACAGCAGAGACATTCCAAACCAATTCCTAAAACCAGTTCCCACTCTGGAAAACTACACATGCGCTGAACAAAAATATACACGCAACATGCAACAATTTCAAAGATTTTACTGAGTTACAGTTCATATAAGGAAATCAGTCAATTGAAATAAATTCATTAGGCCCTAATCCTTGGATTTCACATGACTGGGAATACAGATATGCATCTGTTGGTCACAGATACCTTAAAAAAAAGGTAGGGGCGTGGATCAGAAAACCAGTCAGTATCTGGTGTGACCACCATTATGCAGCGCGACACATCTCCTTCACATAGAGTTGATCAGGCTGTTGATTGTGGCCTGTGGAATGTTGAATATCTCCCGAGTGGCGCAGTGGTCTAAGGCACTACATCGCAGTGCTAGCTGTGCCACTAGAGATCCTGGTTCGAATCCAGGCTCTGTCGTAGCCGGCCGCGACTGGGAGACCCATGGGGCGGCGCACAATTGGCCCAGCGTCGTCCAGGGTAGGGGAGGGAATGGCCGGCAGGGATGTGGCTCAGTTGGTAGAGCATGGCGTTTGCAACGCCAGGGTTGTGGGTTCGATAAAATAATGTATGCGCTAACTGTAAGTCGCTCTGGATAAGAGCGTCTGCTAAATGACTAAAATGTAAATGTAAAATGTTGTCCCACTCCTCTTCAATGGCTGTGCGAAGTTTCTGGATATTGGCGGGAACTGGAACACGCTGTCGTACATGTCGATCCAGAGCATCCCAAACATCCTCAATGGATGACATGTCTGGTGAGAATACAGGCCATGGAAGAACTGGTGCATTTTCATCTTCCAGGAATTGTGTACAGATCCTTGTGACATGGGGCCGTGCATTATCATGCTGAAACATGAGGTGATGGCGGCGGATGAATGGCACGACAATGAGCCTCAGGATCTCGTCACGATATCTCTTTGCATTCAAATTGCCATTGATAAAATGCAATTGTGTTCGCTGTCTGTAGCTTATTTCTGCCCATACCATAACCCCACCGCCACCATGGGGCACTCTGTTCACAACGTTGACATCAGCAAACCGCTCGCCCACACGACGCCGTACACGCTGTCTGCCATCTGCCCGGTACAGTTGAAACCGGGATTCATCCGTGAAGAGCACACTTCTCCAGCATGCCAGTGGCCATCGAAGGTGAGCATTTGCCCAATGAAGTCGGTTACGACGCCGAACTGCAGTCAGGTCAAGACCCTGGTGAGGACGACGAGCACACAGATGAGCTTCCCTGAGATGGTTTCTGACAGTTTGTGTAGAAATTCTTCGGTTGCGCAAACCCCACAGTTTCATCAGCTGTCTGGGTGGCTGGTCTCAGATGATCCCGCAGGTGAAGAAGCCGGATGTGGAGGTCCTGGGCTGGCGTGGTTACACGTGGTCTGGGGAGGTCCTGGGCTGGCGTGGTTACACGTGGTCTGGGGAGGTCCTGGGCTGGCGTGGTTACACGTGGTCTGGGGAGGTCCTGGGCTGGCGTGGTTACACGTGGACTGGGGAGGTCCTGGGCTGGCGTGGTTACACGTGGTCTGGGGAGGTCCTGGGCTGGCGTGGTTACACGTGGTCTGGGGAGGTCCTGGGCTGGCGTGGTTACACGTGGTCTGGGGAGGTCCTGGGCTGGCGTGGTTACACGTGGTCTGGGGAGGTCCTGGGCTGGCGTGGTTACACGTGGTCTGGGGAGGTCCTGGGCTGGCGTGGTTACACGTGGTCTGGGGAGGTCCTGGGCTGGCGTGGTTACACGTGGTCTGGGGAGGTCCTGGGCTGGCGTGGTTACACGTGGTCTGGGGAGGTCCTGGGCTGGCGTGGTTACACGTGGTCTGGGGAGGTCCTGGGCTGGCGTGGTTACACGTGGTCTGGGGAGGTCCTGGGCTGGCGTGGTTACACGTGGTCTGGGGAGGTCTTGGGCTGGCGTGGTTACACGTGGTCTTGGGAGGTCCTGGGCTGGCATGGTTACACGTGGTCTGGGGTTGTGAGGCCGGTTGGACTTATTGCCAAATTCTCTAAAACGACGTTGGAGGCTGGTTAAGTTATAGAAAGGAAATTACATTCTCTGGCAACAGCTCTGGTGAACATTCCTGCAATCAGCATACCAATTGCGCGCTCCTTCAATTTGAGACATCTGTGGCGTTGTGTTGTGTGACAAAACTGCACATTTTAGAGTGGCCTTTTATTGTCCCCAGCACAAGGTGCACCTGTGTAATGGTCTTGCTGTTTAATCAGCTTCTTGATCTGCCACACCTGTCAAGTGGATGGATTAATTTGGCAAAGGAGAAATGCTGACTAACATGAATGTAAACAAATTTGTGAACAAAATTTGAGAGAAATAAGCTTTTTGTGCGTATGGAACATTTCTGGGATCTTTAATTTCAGCTCATGAAACATGGGACCAACACTTTACATGTTGCGTTTGTATTTTAGTTCAGTGTATATATGATTCAGATAAAGATATAGAAAGTCATTCAACCTAATATGATCAATTAAATGTCTAGATTAGTGAATTGCTGTATGTCTAGGTTTTTATTGTTAAGCCTTGTCCTGGACTCAAACACATTTTCACAATCTCTATTGAATTTATTTTGGGTCCAGGATTAGGTTTAATCTGTATGTATCCGGGAAACCAGCCCTTGAAGCACTTTATAATTTAGAATAGAGATTATAGAATTGATTCTACAGTTGACTGATCAGGTTCAGATATTCCCTGGTTCTACAGTTGACTGATAAGGTTCAGATATTCCCTGGTTCTACAGTTGACTGATCAGGTTCAGATATTCCCTGGTTCTACAGTTGACTGATCAGGTTCAGATATTCCCTGGTTCTACAGTTGACTGATCAGGTTCAGATATTCCCTGGTTCTACAGTTGACTGATCAGGTGTAGATATTCCCTGGTTCTACAGTTGACTGATCAAGTTCAGATATTCCCTGGTTCTACAGTTGACTGATCAGGTTCAGATATTCCCTGGTTCTACAGTTGACTGATAAGGATCAGATATTCCCTGGTTCTACAGTTGACTGATAAGGTTCAGATATTCCCTGGTTCTACAGTTGACTGATCAGGTTCAGATATTCCCTGGTTCTACAGTTGACTGATCAGGTTCAGATATTCCCTGGTTCTACAGTTGACTGATCAGGTTCAGATATTCCCTGGTTCTACAGTTGACTGATCAGGTTCAGATATTCCCTGGTTCTACAGTTGACTGATCAGGTTCAGATATTCCCTGGTTTTACAGTTGACTGATCAGGTTCAGATATTCCCTGGTTCTACAGTTGACTGATCAAGTTCAGATAAATATTAAAGGGGAAATCTGGGACTGGGACATCCATTTACGGGATGGCTGTTTTGTTGTTCGAATCCTAGATTGTCCCTTTAAACTAGTGCAGTTTTAACAGGCCATTATTACAGATTTATCTGGATTTTTTTGTTGTTATTCTGTCTCTCACTGTTCAAATAAACCTACCATTAAAATTATAGACTGATCACGTCTTTGTCAGTGGGCAAACGTACAAAATCAGCAGGGGATCAAATACTTTTTTCCCCTCACTGTATCTCTGCAGGCAAACACTCACAGTCTAAATTGGGTACTTCCGAGTTTGAAGAGTGTCACCTTTCAATACTGCTGACAGAAATAGAGATGGTACTCACACACACATAGAAGCATTCACACACACACACACACAAACACACACACTCAGATGTAGACACAGGAATATGGAGATGGTATCGTCACCCCTAAAGATACAACAGGTCAACTAACCACAGATCTAGAGAACAACTAGATATTATATCAGTTAGGAAAGCAAACGGTCTGTCACCCAGAATAGGAGAGAATGTGTTCTGTTAAATGTGTTCTGCTCTGGGATGATCACTGTGTGTGTGTGTGTGTGTGTGTGTGTGTGTGTGTGTGTGTGTGTGTGTGTGTGTGTGTGTGTGTGTGTGTGTGTGTGTGTGTGTGTGTGTGTGTGTGTGTGTGTGTGTGTGTGTGTGTGTGTGTGTGTGCACCTGTACGTGTGTGTGTGTGTGTGTGTATATGAGCTCTATCTGTGGTGTGGTTGAAAGTTCTGCCAGGGAAGTGCGTAGGATTCCCAGGTTCAAGTTCTGTTTCCGGAACGATCTGTGTTTGTAACAGGAGACAGGGTTTGGCAGGAAGGCTCTTCTGCTCCTCTCTCCTCTCTCCTCTCCTCTCCTCCTCCTCTCCTCTCCTCTCCTCTCCTCTCCTCTCCTCTCCTCTCTCCTCCAGGTACATTTCCATTTTAATCAGTTAGCAGACGCTCTTATAAAGAGCCACTTACAGGAGTAATTAGGGTTAAGTGCCTTGCTCAAGGGCACATCGACAGATTTTTCACCTAGTCGTCTCGGGGATTCAAACTGGCGCAACGCTCTTAACCACTTAACCTGCCACCCCCAAACTAAAATTATCCTCCAGGGATGGTAACAGAACTAAACAGATCCACCAAACTGTAAAACTCTCCTCTCTCCTCCAGGTATGGGAACAGTACCAAACAGTACAAGGTGAGGGTTGGGGACTACCATTCTCTGGTTCCAGAGGAGTTTGAGGAGGAGTACGCCGTCGATCAGATCATCCTGCACCCTAGCTACCGTGCCCATAGCAACGACTATGACCTGGCGTTGGTGCGTCTGTCGCCGGGCGTGGCGGGGAAGGGCCGGGGCCGCTGCGTGACGTTCAGTCGGAACGTCCTGCCCGCCTGCCTGCCGCTTCGCAAGGAGAGAGTCCTGAAACAGGCTTCCAACTGTCACATCACAGGCTGGGGGGACACAGGTGAGGGGAGGGGAGGGGAGGGTGGAGGGGAGGGGAGGGGAGGGGGGGTGTGGTGTGGTGTGGTGTGGTGTGGTGTGGGGCTGGGGGGACACAGGGGAGGGGAGGGGAGGGTGGAGGGAAGGGGAGTGGGGTGTGGTGTGGTGTGGTGTGGTGTGGGGCTGGGGGGACACAGGTGAGGGGAGGGGAGGGGAGGGTGGTGTGGTGTGGTGTGTGAAAGAGAGAGATCTTGGTTTAGTCAGAAGAACAGAGAGCTGACACATCTGTTAGTGATGCTATACTGTCATAATGACATCATCACTCACACCAGCGTTCAAACAGACACTGACCAGCTTGACGCTCACACAGAGTTCACTAATGACTGTTTAGTTCACTAATGACTGTTTGGTTTGTCTATCTGATAAAACAGATTAAAGGACCAGTGGAATGTTAATTGTCTATCTGATAGAGCAGATTAAAGGACCAGTGGAATGTTAATTGTCCAGTGGAATGTTAATTGTCCAGTGGAATGTTAATTGTCCAGTGGAATGTTAATTGTCCAGTGGAATGTTCATTGTCCAGTGGAATGTTCATTGTCCAGTGGAATGTTAATTGTCCAGTGGAATGTTAATTGTCCAGTGGAATGTTAATTGTCCAGTGGAATGTTCATTGTCCAGTGGAATGTTCATTGTCCAGTGGAATGTTAATTGTCCAGTGGAATGTTAATTGTCCAGTGGAATGTTAATTGTCCAGTGGAATGTTAATTGTCCAGTGGAATGTTAATTGTCTCTGTGTGTGTGTGTATGTGTGTCCTCCAGGTCGGTCCTACTCTAAGACCCTCCAGCAGGCTCCTCTCTCCCTCCTCCCCCGTCGTCACTGCCAACAGCGTTACCATGGAGCCTTCACTAGCCGCATGCTCTGTGCCGGGACAGACAGCCAATCAGAGCGCCGCGTGGACAGTTGCCGTGGGGACAGCGGCGGCCCGTTGGTGTGTGAGCGTCCGGGCGGAGGGTGGGTAGTGTACGGTGTGACATCATGGGGTCACGCCTGTCGCATGCAACACTCACCTGGCGTCTACACTAAAGTCTCCGCCTTCACACCCTGGATACACAAGGTGATTGGACAATGAGAGGGATACAGGAACTGTATCTCTAAGGTGATTGGACAATGGGAGGAATACAGGAAGTGGATCTGCAAGGTGATTGGACAATGGGATAGGGGCATGAAGGGACGACAGCCAATGTGAGACAGTGGTAGATAACGGACTGGCCAATTGAGAAGGACTATATTTGGAGCTTGTGATTTGATTGGTCAGTGAAAGTGGTTTCAAACCAGTTGAAAGGCTTGACCAATCTCCCCCCTGTCTCTCTTTCATAACCACCCCTCCCTCCTTTTTCTTCTTTCTCTTCCTCCTCTTCCCTCTCTCCTCTCCTCTCCACAACCTGAATCCTCTTCATCAGCGCTTGTTTTATTTAACCCTTTGACTATTTTGTTTTCCCAGATTCAGGTTAAGTCAACTCCTGGTTTGAAACACTTAATCTGAAGCGTTTACTGTATTAACTAGGAACCAAACGGAACCAAACCGGGAGGGACCTAGCTGACGTCGTCTAATATAAACTAAATGTTTTGCTAGGCTTTGCTACAGTGTGGACTAATGAACACGCCCCCAGACAACCAGTCTTCAATGTTCCATTGTTCTACGAATGACCTTATGGTCCTCTGTAGCTCAAAGCGTCTGCTAAATGGCATATTATTATATTATTATTATTATGAAAGAAACTACAGGCGCAGCACGTTGTTGTTGACGTCACACTCCTAAAGAATGATGGGGACCACAGCATGGAAAGGACTATGTACTGAATACACACACGCACACGCACATGCACACACACACCACACACACACACACACACACACACGCACGCACACACACACACAACACACACACGACAACATTACCGAGCGCTATCTCTTAGTACTATAAAGGTGAAGGTGGAGACTTTTCACTGTCTAGTCTACACCTGTCGTTTACGAAGCATGTGACTAATACAATCCGATTTGATTTGTTGTTGTTTAATGTTCAGTTGTTATTTGATCCAACCTCCGAGTCCGACAGCTAAACTGTTTATCAAACAGATTCAGATGCCACCCTATTCCCTATATAGTGCACTACTTTAGACCAGAGCCCTATGACACCCTATTCCCTATATAGTGCACTACTTTAGACCAGAGCCCTATGGCACCCTATTCCCTATATAGTGCACTACTTTAGACCAGAGCCCTATGACACCCTATTCCCTATATAGTGCACTACTTTAGACCAGAGCCCTATGACACCCTATTCCCTATATAGTGCACTACTTTAGACCAGAGCCCTATGACACCCTATTCCCTATATAGTACACTACTTTAGACCAGAGCCCTATGACACCCTATTCCCTATATAGTACACTACTTTAGACCAGAGCCCTATGACACCCTATTCCCTATATAGTGCACTACTTTAGACCAGAGCCCTATGACACCCTATTCCCTATATAGTGCACTACTTTAGACCAGAGCCCTATGGCACCCTATTCCCTATATAGTGCACTACTTTAGACCAGTAGTGTGATGCATAGGGAATATAGTGCCATTGTCTCCATGTACTTTATCCTTGTTGTGTACTTGTATACTTTCATACTTGTAATATCGTGTTTCTTAGTAGTAATCTTTCTCTGTCAGATGATTGGTTAATAGGAACAGCACACCAGTATGTAATGTTAGGTCTTGCGTTGTTTCTTGTTGTGTTATTTAAACTCATCCAGTAGTTTTGTGACTGTTAGTGTTGCTATGGTGACGGATCGATCAGGTTTTCAAACCCCGGGTCGTCAACGTTTTGAGAGATTAACATCCCAAGGCTTTAGTTCAGAGGCTCTAGCAACTGGTCTTCAGGTGTTCTCAGGCAAGGCTACTCGTCGAGGTCTCTAGTGGGAGACCAGGGTTCAGATCCTATCCTGCTCAGTGCACTACATAAGGAATAGGGTGCCATTTGGACCAGGGTTCAGATCCTATCCTGCTCAGTGCACTACATAAGGAATAGGGTGCCATTTGGACCAGGGTTTCAGATCCTATCCTGCTCAGTGCACTACATAAGGAATAGGGTGCCATTTGGACCAGGGTTCAGATCCTATCCTGCTCAGTGCACTACATAAGGAATAGGGTGCCATTTGGACCAGGGTTCAGATCCTATCCTGCTCAGTGCACTACATAAGGAATAGGGTGCCATTTGGACCAGGGTTCAGATCCTATCCTGCTCAGTGCACTACATAAGGAATAGGGTGCCATTTGGGGCACTACATAAGGAATAGGGTGCCATTTGGGACACTACATAAGGAATAGGGTGCCATTTGGGACACTACATAAGGAATAGGGTGCCATTTGGGACACTACATAAGGAATAGGGTGCCATTTGGGACACTACATAAGGAATAGGGTGCCATTGGCACTCATAGAATAGGTGCATTTGGGACACTACATAAGGAATAGGGTGCCATTTGGGCACTACATAAGGAATAGGGTGCCATTTGAGACACTACATAAGGAATAGGGTGCCATTTGGGGCACTACATAAGGAATAGGGTGCCATTTGAGACACTACATAAGGAATAGGGTGCCATTTGGGATGCGAACCCCCGTCTGTGTTGACTCAATGTACTGTTGCCTCATAAAACTAGGATTTTGTAAGAACTTTGTGTGTGATTTTGACTGTCTAACGGTTATCTGATCTCTCATCTCATATCATTTAGGATCCTAACACATCCAAACACTTCCTGTTATATATATAATTTAGGATCCTAACACATCCAAACACTTCCTGTTATATCATTAAGGATCCTAACACATCCAAACACTTCCTGTTATATCATTAAGGATCCTAACACATCCAAACACTTCCTGTTATATCATTAAGGATCCTAACACATCCAAACACTTCCTGTTATATCATTAAGGATCCTAACACATCCAAACACTTCCTGTTATATCATTAGGATCCTAACACATCCAAACACTTCCTGTTATATCATTTAGGATCCTAACACATCCAAACACTTCCTGTTATATCATTTAGGATCCTAACACATCCAAACACTTCCTGTTATATCATTAGGATCCTAACACATCCAACACTTCCTGTTATATCATTAGGATCCTAACACATCCAAACACTTCCTGTTATATCATTTAGGATCCTAACACATCCAAACACTTCCTGTTATATCAGTAGTCCTAACACATCCAAACACTTCCTGTTATCATTAAGGATCCTAACACATCCACAACACTTCCTGTTATATCATTAGGATCCACACTCCAAACACTTCCTGTTATATCATTAGGATCCACCATCCAAACACTTCTGTATATCATTAAGATCCTACACATCCAACCACTCCTGTTATATCATTAGGCCACCATCCAACACTTCTGTAATCATTAGATCCACACATCCAAACACTTCCTTTATATCATTTAGGATCCTAAACATCCAAACACTTCCTGTTATATCATTTAGGATCCTAACACATCCAAACACTTCCTGTTATATCATTTAGGATCCTAACACATCCAAACACTTCCTGTTATATCATTAAGGATCCTAACACATCCAAACACTTCCTGTTATATCATTTAGGATCCTAACACATCCAAACACTTCCTGTTATATCATTTAGGATCCTAACACATCCAAACACTTCCTGTTATATCATTTAGGATCCTAACACATCCAAACACTCCTGTCAGAATACAAGCTACTCCTCTCTTCCTGTTGTTAAATGTCTCTCTCTCTCTCGCCCCCCCCCCCCCCCCCTCACTCTCTCTCTCTCTTGCCCCCCTCCATCTCTCTCTCTCTCTTGCCCCCCCTCTGTCTCTATAACTTGCGCCCCCCCTCCATCTCTCTCTCTTGCCCCCCTCCATCTCTCTCCTCTTGCCCCCCTCCATCTCTCTCTCTCTCTTGCCCCCCCGTCTCTATAACTTGCCCCCCCCTCCATCTCTCTCTCTCGCCCCCCCTCTCTCTCTCTCTTGCCCCTTTGTCTCTATAACTTGCCCCCCTCCATCTCGCTCTCTCTCTTGCCCCCCCCCCGTCTCTATAACTTGCGCCCCCCCGTCTCTAAACTTGCCCCCCTCCATCTCGCTCTCTCTTGCCCCCCATCTGTCTTTATAACTTGCGCCCCCCCTCCATCTCTCTCTCTCTCTTGCCCCCCCCCCTGTCTCTATAACTTTTAGTATCTACTGTTAGTCTGAACAACAAACCTATCTTAGTTCTCTCTCTAACAGGTAGCACAGCCCTGTCAAATAATACCTTGTGGAATGACAGTCATTATGTGTGTGTGTGTTTCCTGAATAAGCAGACATGTTGACATGACACACAGTTCAGAGCTTTGGCTGGGACAAACAGGCCTTTATGTTACACACACACCTCACTAGGGTGTGATAGACAGGCCAATGTTCACAGCAGTGTTACGGACAGAACACCTTCAAAACATCCTTCCATCTCTCCCTTCATCTCTCCATCTAACCCTCTATCCCTCCATCTCTCCATCTAACCCTCTCTCCCTCCATCTCTCCATCTAACCCTCTATCCCTCCATCTCTCTCTCTTTCAAATCGCTACAATAACATTTTTTACATTTTACATTTTCGTAATTTAGCAGACGCTCTTATCCAGAGCGACTTACAAATTGGTAACCTTTTTAATGACCTTAGATCAGTGTAATGGATGCACGCACGACTGTAAGTCGCTTTGGATAAAAGCTTCTGCTAAATGGCATATCATATTATTATTATTGTTATTATATAGTATATTATCAGTGTCTAGGGGCAAACTTCATCCTTCTATGTAAAGCAATAGCTGGGTCGTTCCATGAAATGACTGCCTTTTGTGTCCCTTTGATATTTTAAGTAGAAATTGTGCACCAATATTGAATTTAAAAGCCTGTTATATTCAACGCAATGCCCTTTTAATATAGACCACGTGGAGAATTCAATATATCCAATTTTTTATATCAACAAAGACTTGCTAAAGTGCCAAAATTCCGCATTTTGACATGTCCATCCGTGCACTGTGTGACTTCCAGGAAGATTTTAA